TGGTGGAGTCATGGCCGGTGGGAAAACCGCTTCATATGTCGAAGAGGGTGAATGGTCAGGAACTGGATTTTCAGTCTGATGGTCATCCGCTTCAAACAACTGCCATCTTCCAGGTCTGACTGTTGTGTTGTGGACCCCGAACTGCGTATTTGAGAAGTCAGGCGACGGTCACGATGCTGCTGTGGTAGAGAGTGCCCCGCTGACGGTGGATGTCGCGTGAGGGCTGTTGATGCATACGATGATGGGAATATGAATGTGAATGTGATGAGTACGGAGAAGGATGGCAATACTCGTAATATCGATTTGACGGATGAGGTGATGAGCACCTGGACGATCTATTACTGGTATGTCACTTCTCGTGACTGACACATGGGGAATAGTAATAACGTGGCGACCGTCCAAATGGTGGAGAATAGGATCAGTGTCTATAGCAGTCGCTGTAATGTGGGTGGCCATATGGAGAATACCGTCTATAATAGACCTGGTGTCTTGGGCTGTGGTGCCGGTAGGTATGGGGTAGAGGTGAGACATACATCGGCGGAGAAGGAGAAGGACCTGGTGAAAATTTTGGAGAAAGGGAGTGGGGAGTCCCCTGTCTCCGTGCTTTAACTGATGCCTTTGCTGGAGGCTCTGCCTGAATAAACTCCGGCTCCAGCTCCTGCTCCAGTGCTGGTCTTTCAATCAGCTGTGGCACCACTGTATATGCCAGTGCCAGGGCTGTTTGGAACTGGGAAGCACCACATGGCTCCAGAAACAGTACTTGTGATGCCAGTGCCGCAGAGTTCCCACTGGTGCCGCAGCCACCCCTGCGGTTGTCTGCTGCTCCGTGCCGCTTGCTGGGCTGAATAAAGTGATGCCGGTGCCTTTGAAAGATGTGCGCCACTTGTCTGCACGGAGGCTGCCTTTGGTGCCGACAATGTTGCTTGCTGTGTTGCTGGTGCCGGGAGAGTTCCCTCCGGTGCCGCTGCTGCCTGCGTGGTTTTCTGCTGTGCTTTAGAAATTAACCGGTGCGGTGCTGGGGTCTTTGTAACACAGGCACCATTTGTCGGCACCAAGGCTGATTTTGGCACTGAATAAGCTCTATTGGATGCTGCAGACTTTTTCCCTTTAATCCCCGACCCAGATAGTGAAGGTCGCGAGACAGAGACAGAGGATCCAGGTTTACCTCCCACCATTCTTTCAGGTAGAAGTGATCTGGCAGGGGAGATCTTTTTTCTTTTTTCCACAAGTACCTCGGGGGGAAGAAGTCCTTCTCTTGTGGTTCCCCCCCAGCTGTTCAGCATTCCTCACATTGGGGTCCAGTGCCTTGTTGAAGAGGAACATTTTAAGACACATTTCCCTGTCTCAACGAGTGCAGACTGTCATCTTTGAGCAGTGCCCGCACTTATGGGGAATGTGGCTCTCCCCTAGGCAGTGTACACAGGCTGAATGCCCGTCTGAAACTGGCATGGGCTCACTGCATTGGGCACACTTTTTAAACCCTGGAAATCCAGGCATGACTGGGTTAATCCTTTTCTTCTAAAAGAACAAGTTTGTTTGTTAAATCCCTGCTG